TCTACTAGTTTATATAGTTGTCCGTAAAATATCTGTAATATCAAATTAACAGTAGTAAGGCTGCTTGTCAGTCAAGCGTTTATTTGTGTTGCCTATCATAATCAGATGCTTCTGTTTTATGGCGTTGTGTTGCAGATATTCAAACTATTGACATTTGGTGTTGTGCCTCAACCATTTGGAGTACTGAATTTGGTGGATAACCATGTTTTTTGCATTCTAATACAGTGGTCGTTCAATAATTCATACAACAGAACGACTGATCAAGAAAAGAAATATAAATTCCCAATACATGATTCAACAATCTAACACAATAAAACATACAACCAAAGTCCAGGGGTAGAACCATTCAAATGGCATTATGACTCATAAAATACTTCGCAAATTCAACCTTTGTTTGATTGATGTCATCCTCGGTGTATTCCAGATTTCCCCGACGCGCCCACTGAAAATCGTAGGAAAAAACCAAATATCTAATAAGCCAATCATAGAAGTGATGAAGTAAATATAGGATGCAACACAGAAGAACTGATTTGTATGAAGGCATTATCCGTGATTACTAACACTAAAGAACTGGCCAATAATTAATACTCAAACCTTCACTAGCATTGAGTAGTACACATTATTAGTGAACTATAAGAGGCTCTACTTAATGTTAAAGTCTCTCCTGATTAAAAACACCAGAACTGTACACAAAATAAAAAACTCTGTACAGCGCTATCTTAAATTAGCTTCAAATTAAATCTGTGTAAAGAGCATGTATTAGAAATTGCATTTATCCAGAAATTCAAACTAAAAAAACACACTCCTAAATGATACACTGATGCAAAGAAGCACGCACTTAATTAATAGAGAACACATAAAAGCGACATGCAATTCAAACTTTGCAATTCGGTAATGGTATGATAACATGCAATACAGTAAATATCCCCAGAATAAGAGAAAGGCACAATAAGTGTGAACCATCCGAAACAAGAAAAACTACATTTAAGACAACAATATTACCTTTGAAGCAAATTGAACCTCCTTATCCTGACAGATCTCTTTCATGTATCGCATTACAAACAAGCCACAGTCTACACTCCCTTTTTGCATCGGGATGCCCTAAAA